GTCATGAATGAGTGCAGCAACGTCACGTGTTCAATTTATCAACCACAAAGCACGCGACTTCATTCATACAAATATCACAACGTTTTGTACGCGTAAAAGTAGTTTTAATAACTATTTCATTTGATTTCATATTTTCAACAAAAAAAATACATACATACAGTTAAGACGAATTGCCGATAAAAAGAATAATGGCATTTTGTTTTTTGATACTGACTTCATCAGCTCGAACATCAGCTCGACCTAGCGGGCTCCATTGGGGCTCGCTTGGTATTCTTTTTGATAAAGTCAGTATCAAAAATGAAAATGCCGTTATTCTATATTTATCGGCAATTTGTTTACTAGTACTTTTCCTTTGAACTTAATGCCTGATAGTTATGATATCATGGACAGAACCTGATAGTCGATGATATTAGGCAATGACATCATGTATCAGTGCAGTACTAACGTCACTTATTCATGTCATCCGCGTCAATTCATCAATGCAATGGACGCGACTTCATTCATGCAATTGAACAACTATCACAACGTTGTGTACGCGTAGAAATAGTTTTGCTAATCATTTCATTATATTTCATATTCTCAACACAACAAAAATACAATAACTTACAGTTCAAAAAATTCAAATTACCGATAAACAGAATAATGACATTTTATATTTTGATACTGACTTCATCAAGTGACAACTCCACGACAGATCCAACTATTGGATAACCAGTGACGGTGATACACGGCTGAAATAACATACTATGTTACTAGATTATGGAGTGTGTGTCCGAGCGAGAACTTCTCTAGTTCATTACTTTAGGAATATTTATCAAAAAGTAGTATTTCAATATTCAGCCCCATTCTACTATTTAGTCAGACGTCAGTCGCTACCCTAATATACCCTTTCTTTTTCGGGTAATTAATACGGATAGCGTTTGACATCTTTAGCCGAACAGATTTATCATTTTTACATAATTTCATTCATTGTATGCTGGTTCATATTCTGGACGCCAGTCTTTGCTCCTTTCTAATATAATTCACAAACAAAAAACAAATATGAAGCTTAGAAATGGAAAAATATTAAATACTAAACTCGTTCAAAGGGTATCTACACGTCTCAATCTTCAAAATCGCTTATCTAAAAATACTACCATCGCTAACATTTTAACAATAAAAATCGTGGTTACCCTTCTATCGATAAGTGTCATGCCAAAAAATGACTTACATGTCCCCGTCTTTCCACCAACAATACGGTAAGGTCCACGTTTAATGGTCGCACATTTTCTTTAAATTTTGAAACTGATATAACTTGAAAAACAAACAGTATAATTTATTTACTCACATGAAACAAACCGGGATGCGGTATTCAGTACGTAGGTGAAACTGGACGATATTTATCTAATCGCACTCAAGAACATCTGTATCGTTTTAAAAGACCCAATAAATTCAAAAGTATCATTTATCAACACCTTAAGAAGCACAATCATCCTATTAAATATTTAGCAGTTCAACCTTTAGAAGTAGTAAATAAGCAGCCTGGTGAATCTCATTCAAAGTTTGTACGATCGCGGAAAATAATTGAATTAAATTGGATTAAAAAATTACAGACAGTCTACCCTCTCGGTCTTAATGATAATATCATGGGAATTGTTAATATATCAAGAACCGATTCTGTTAACATTTTGGATATAGTTTCTAAAACTGTTCGTAAAAACCGTTCTCATGGTCGTAGAAAAAATCGCAATCAAAGAAAATTTCGGACCAATCATACCAATATTTCGGACCTAATTTCTATTTCAAAAAACAACGGCAGACATTATCTGTTAACAAAGCTCTGTTCATTACCAGTTAATAAGTTAAATAAAATTTTAGAGGATTGCAACACAATTTCATATAGCAGTCCTAAGTATGAAATCGTTCAAATTATAATGGCATATTGTTATTCTAAACTGTTTCCCAAAATTGATCGCACTGAAGATCATAAAAAACAGTTTATTAAAATAAACTATGTCAATAAAGGTTTTGATTTTGTAAATATTGCCGGTATTTTTAACGACCATTCTGTTAAAGAACAAATTCCGGGATATTTTGATAATACTGAGCTCCCTCTTATTTGTTATATATACAAAAAATCTACCCGGAAATTTGTGTTTAATTATAGCCAATTGTGTAAAGATGTTAATATCAGTGAAAATACACCTACTTCATGTAATTGCAGTAATTCCGAATACATTTATGGACCCATTTCCCATGTTATAACAGGAGATCTTAACATCGTTCAAGACCGAGAGTTAAAATCATTCCTCAGTAAAGGACCTAAATATCGTCCCCCGTCAATTATTAATTGGAATGAGTGTCGTAATATCATCCACGACTCACTCCATAATTACTGTTTGAAATGGATAAAACGGGAAAAAGCTGACAAAAAATCTTTGGACTCTTTTTTTAAATCAGTAATGAACATAGTTGATATACGTATTCAACATTTTAAAGAACATTTTACTCTTAACAATAACCACAATAAACCTATTTCTCGTATCAAACATAAACTAAAAGAACTAGCCAAGGAATTTGTTTTTGTCCCGGCCGATAAAGCTGCTAATAATATTATTATTGTTTGACGTAAATTTTACATTGAGGTTCTGAAAAAAGAAATCACCAATTCACCAACATTCCAACTGACTCCATTTTCAGAAAACGACATCTGTAACAAACATAAACTTTTAGCTACCGCTTTACAAGCAGAACCAAATACAATGAAAGTCCCAACTATGTATTGGCTTCCGAAGCTACACAAAACACCTTACAAATATAGATTCATTTCGTCTTCAAGCCATTGTTCCACTACTAAATTGTCTATTCTTCTTACCAGTACACTTGGTACAATCATAAACCTGATAATAAATTGTTCAAATAAGGCCTTCGAAAATAGTGGAATTAATTACTTTTGGAGTGTCAAGAACTCGTTGGAAGTACTTGATAAATTGCATGCATATATTGGTGATTTTGAATCTGTTCAAAGTTTTGATTTTTCTACCCTATATACCACATTGCCTCACATTCTCATTAAGAAAAAATTCACACACCTAATTAAATGGGCATTTAAAAAGTCAGAATGTGAATATATATGTTCAAACTCTTTTAGGTCATTTTTTAGTAGCAATAAACAAAAAAACTATGTCAATTGGACATGCTTTGATACTATATATGCCCTTGAATTTTTACTAGATAACATTTTTGTTCGCTTTGGAGATTCCGTATATCGTCAGGTTATCGGAATTCCAATGGGGACTAACTGTGCACCACTTATTTCGGACCTTTTTTTGTATTGCTATGAGTTACAATTTATGACAAAAATCAGTAAAGACCCATCGAAACAACATCTGATACACAAATTTAATAATACTTTTAGATATTTGGATGATATTTTGGCTCTCAATAATGACGACTTCAGTATGTATACTAAAGAAATTTATCCTGTTGAACTTACTTTAAATAAAGCTAATACTAACAATGACCACTGCCCTTTCCTCGATCTTGATATCTATATCATTAACGGAAAGCTTAATACTAAAATATATGATAAAAGAGATAATTTTTCATTTCCTATCGTTAATTATCCATTTTTAGATGGTGACGTTCCCTTGTCACCATCTTACGGTGTTTATATATCTCAACTTGTACGATTCGCTCGTGTATGTAACAATGTTTTAGATTTTAACGAGAGAAATTTATGTATTACTGAAAAATTATTACACCAGGGTTTTCGATATCACAAACTAGTCAAAACATTTACTAAATTTTATCATCGGTATAAGGACATCATTCGTAAATATAGCTCAACATGCAGACTTCTTATACGTTCAGGTATTTCACATCCAATTTTTTATGGAAATATTCTTTATAAAGCACAAAAATGTCAGTATTCACCTCTGAAACTAACAAATCCTTTAAATAGACTTATTAAGAAGGGATATAGTTACGATACTGTTGTCAGGTCATTAAAGATTGCATATTTTGGCGTTGATATTGATTCACTTATAGGGTCTTTGCATCGGCACTAAACACATTTATTTAAAAACCAGTTGTTGGCATGACACGGGTTATGTTCTTCTCATATATGTTATGATGGTATGATACTAAACCCCTAACGGGAAGGATTGTGCCTGATATTCATATGATGAAGACATAATCTTTCAATCAGTTTAATTGAAGTCTGGAGCTGGCATGTCAGTTAACTGCTAGTAGTCTGTTGTTATTTATGTATTATTGTCATTTTGTTTATTTTCTTTGGTTACATCTTCTGACATCAGACTCGGACTTCTCTTGAACTGAATTTTAATGTGCGTATTGTTATGCGTTTACTTTTCTACATTGGCTAGAGGTATAGGGGGAGGGTTGAGATCTCATAAACATGTTTAACCCCGCCGCATTTTTGCGCCTGTCCCAAGTCAGGAGCCTCTAGCCTTTGTTAGTCTTGTATTATTTTTAATTTTAGTTTCTTGTGTACAATTTGGAGTTTAGTATGGCGTTCATTATCACTGAACTAGTATATACATTTGTTTAGGGGCCAGCTGAAGCTCGCCTCCGGGTGCGGGAATTTCTCGCTGCATTGAAGACCTGTTGGTGGCCTTCTGCTGTTGTCTGTTCTGTGGTCGGGTTGTTGTCTCTTTGACACATTCCCCATTTCCATTCTCAATTTTATATTCAAAATTACTCTAAATATCAGCACAACAATGTTAAATCTGCAAATTTGCGGAAGGAAATTTGTGTTCTTCCCTATATATATATTCTATATTTATTATGTTTATATAATATCAAACGTAACATCAAAATCAATACACAAACGATTTGATAAAACAAAAATACCAAACAAATACGGTATCGTTATTCCGAAGCACTTTCCTATATTTACCTTACACTTTTACAAAAAGATTGAAAATGTATGATGTGAATTTATTATAGAGTATTGATTAAAGTTATGTAAATAACAATGTATGGTGTGTTGCAGATGAATATACTGACACGTTGCTTGATTTTAATGGTAGCTGTAGTGGCTGTTCAGTCTCGGATTCCAGGAATAAGTAATTGTATATAATTCAATATGTGAAGTGATATATATTTATAAAATCTTTTAACTAACTACATTTTTCTCCAACCGGTTTCATAAATTTTGTGAAAATCATAGATGATAATGAATCATCCCATTAAATTAGTTTTTACAAGACTTTATATGTGTACGATATTAAGCACAAAAAGGCACGCCCAATCTTTCCTGAATTTGATATTTCATGTGGGCAAATAAAACCGAGCTACATCTGATTATGAAAGAGCCTAATTCATAAGCTTTTGAGATCTTTTGATAAATTTGATACATATATAATAACTAGAAGTGTCGGAACGACACGAATGGCCCCGCTTGACGTTTTCAAAGTCCAAAACCTGTTGTTTTGGCAAAAATCATTGGAGCGAAACCAAACGTAAACTCGATCTGTAACTCATCTTAGCAAACTCACATACTAAAAATCCGCTCAATATTTGAAGGCGTTTAGAAAAAAAGTCCGTATAACTGTTCGTTGCAGAATGACGGAATGACGGAATGACGGATAAGGGTAAAACTATATGGCCCCGAAAACCATGTTAACAGAGTCTGTATAGTGTGAACATGCACGAGCGTAACGGATTAAGTGAGCTATGTAAACCCCATACGATGGTACTGAGAAATGGTAAGTTGACAATAGGAAAGTTGAAATCATCATGTTTGTCAAATATTCTGGTTTGAGGTCGTCCAAATTTTATAAATAATTTGAAAATGACTAAGATGTGACTTAAATTCAATGGAAATCTGTCCTACCTTTCACAAATGAAACCTTTGAAATCTTAAATGATGAGGACTTTAAATAAATATACATTTGATTTTAGTTAATGCACTGAATTATACGTTATTGTTCAGAATTTTACAAACAAAGATCATTTTTATCATTTTTGGTATTTGTACATGTTTTTCACTAGTAAATGGCTGTACAGGTTGCAGCGTAAAAGGGGTATGTTATTTTCCCAATCAAGAGTGGAAACAAGGTTGTTGGACAAAGAAATGTTCCGTTTATTCCAATGGTTACGTACAAGGATGGAAAACACTAATTGTAAAAACACGTACGTATACATTTTTGAGAATCGTTAAGATGACAGGATAAACAGATTGTGATTATTGTTATACATGTATTTAATTTCAAAATATATATTTCGTTGAAAATTTGCATTCTTTCTTATTGCATTATTGGTGTTTTCTCAAATTCTGTTCAATCCATGTTTTGAAACTATCGAAAATATTCTTTATTGTTCTACAATGTAGTACTAAAAATGGGATTACAATATGTTATTTTTAATACATGTAGTAGTCTCAGCGTTAAAGAAATGCACAGATTTCTATTTTTGTCAGTGTAACAATCAGTCGATATATAATAAAATTAAACGAGGAAACCAAGTTTCTAATGTGGTACACAAGAATAAATTGGGTACAAAAGAATAAGTGGTAAATAAAATATATATGTAACACTTAATACAAAGTAAAAATGTGAATTATTTCTTAAGAGTATGATGCGTAGTAATATCCTTGAATATCAAAGGCATATTGAAAAAAAACTCGAATTGCCCATTGTAAGGATCGTTCATATGATAATTGTATGTTTTCTCTTGTAGAGTGTCCGGATAATTATGGTAGATGTATAGATCCCGGTCAAAAGAATTCTGGAGGGTGTACCTGTACTGTTTCTGGAATACTTTGGTCATACAGATGTAAAGGAAAATAAATGTCTTTAAAAACTAGGACTTATATTCTTTAAAATTTACGCACAAAAGCTGTTGAAAGACGTAATAAGTAACCGAACTTTTTGTCTTTTCTGTCTTTTTACAGGTTTTATGTAATACACTTAAAAACAACAAAATAGTTTTTTTTTATGTTTCTTACATTTAAACAACGTTTAATTTTCAGTTTCTTTTTTCCATAGAAGTAACCCATTAGTTTTTACATATCAATAACTGCAGGTAATCATAAAGAAATTAATTTCAAACAGCTTTCGCGTTGTTTGTGTTTCAAACTTGTATCTGTGCTTAAAGGGGCATTAGCTACGCGATATGAAAGACAACAACATTTTTTTTTTCTCGATCAATGAAGAAAATTAAATAGTGAAATAATAGTTCGGGTTTAGCAGCCAGTTTGATTCATTTTTGTTAAATTAAGCTTAGAAACATCGCTGATGAATTATTCACTTGCAGTTGAATAATTCGACCTCTGGAATCCGTATTCATGTGACCTTCAATTTAACCCCTTAGCTGGAGATGGGTTACGAATATATTCAGCTATCAAAATGAAAAGAAAGTCAACATTGAAAGTGAAATAAGATGAACCATTTGGGTGACTTAATATTCGATCCACAAAAAAAATCATTCTTATACTGGCAAAAACGATGATAAACATACTTTATAACATACAATTTGAAATCCAACAGACCTAGAAAATCCAATTGCACGTGGTCTATATCTATTTATATGTATATTATGTTTATGTTTATATTGGGTAATAAGACCGTTGGCAGTCCTCGGAGATCATCTCGTTATTAGATGACGTCTACACAAAAAAACACAAAATGCTGATACATATTATCGATTCCATGCATTGTTAATTGTTTATTCTAGCCTTTTTGTAATTTGGATATATGTTTTAGTATGTTTTAATTCAAATATGACCATTTGAGTCAAATTGGTGAACATGAATTTGACAGCTTAAAACTTAGTCAATAAAAAATTCAAAAACAATAAAAACAAATCAAATAAAACCAAGAAAACAACACAAAACAAACAGCAACACAATCACTAATCGCTTTGTTAAGCTAATACGACCAAAGCCAGAGGTTTATGCTGTAATGCGAGTTCTCAAACCTCACCTAATCTAGACTAGTGGTGTAACTATATAACATAAGAACAAATGAAAAATTAGTTGAAAACGGCTCAACTCAACACATCGACGTAATCGCAGTTACTGGAAGCTATATCAAAGACAATTGATAAATAATTCATGTTTCCTATAATAATAGTACACATCTAATGGACTTAGTGTAAAGACGTCATCATAGTCTGAGAAAAAACATGACCTAGTGCGATCCCAAAATATAGATAGATTTTAGTACGGTTCAAAACAATATTTAATGACTTTATGAACAGTGTTTAATTAATTACCTTTAAGAATAAGTTTACATAAAGGATCGATATCTTCCATGATCATAACTCAATTTACGGGCTCTATAAACAACATCAAACAGATAATTGTACTTCATGAACAATTTTATTTAGACTTTACTTATTAAAATCTATAATATATATTTATGATTAAAATTAAATAAGATCCTTTTATGTTTAAATGTGAATATACATATAGAATTCACCACTGCAACACGTGTGTTACGATATTTCTCCACTCGAGACAGTTAAATTTTAATATTTAAAGCGCGAGGCTTGCCGAGCTTTTTAAATAATTAAAATTTAACTTTTGAGAGTGGAGAAATATCGTAATACATGAGTTATAGTGATGGAATCTGTTTCTTTAATGATTTTTATTCTTCCTTTTCAAAGATTTGCAGAAAGTTGTGTTCTTTATATGTGACGTCATCAGGCATGGTCGCCTTTTTTCATGACGTCACAATAGGAAATTCAGAAGAAACCAAGAAAATTTGACGTCATAATAAAATTTTGACCAATAATTTGCCGAGAACAGATATTTTGCCGAGAACAGATATTTCACTAGTGAGGAGAAATATTTTTCTCACACCGATCAAGAAATTTGAAAATAGCGCAAAAATTAGAGAAAAATTAATCCCCACTCGAAGATACCTGTATTAATGACAAAGAACGACATAAAAGGAGGGTTTACAAATGTCGAAAAAATTTTCCAGGTTAAATTATCATTTCACTTCTATCTGCATAATGTACTGTCTTCTGCTCTAAAAAAGCACAAATGTTTAAACTCAGTCAATACTTGTCCAATATCATTGCATAGAAGTTTTTATTATTTCTATTTATAGTTGTGTTTCTCATCTGGAAAAGAATTTGGGATTTTGAACCATATTGAAGACACAAATTCTGATTTTTCCAATTTATTCTTGTGCGATCTTCTGTATAATTTTCTAAATAAATCTACTCTTGTGCAATCCTCTTTGGTATGATTTTCTGAATAAATCTCTGCATTTCAGGTTGTTTCAGCACTTTAGGACTCTGACCTATATAATTTATCAATTCTCAATTCAATTTCCAAGTATAAATTCTCCCTATAAAAATAAGGAGATTTGATATGATTTTCAATGAAACAACTATCCACCAAAGTTCATATGTAAGCAATTATAGGCAACTGTATAGCCTTCCATAATGAGAAAACCCATACCGTATAGTCGGCTATAATAAATATGAAACAATTCAATTAAGAAAACTAACGGCCTAATTTATAACAATACAATTTACGAAAATCAAATATGACAGACATGACCCTACGACAACCACTGAACTACAGGTTCCTGACTTAGGACAAGCACATAAAGAATGTCGCGGGGTTAAACATGTTTGTGAGCGCTCAACCCTCTCCCTAACCTGGGACAATGGTGTTACAGCACAACACAGCACAACATAAGAACAAACCATAAAAAAAATCAGTTGAGAAGGTTTTAACTCATCAGATCGATACAAAACAGAAAAACATCTTACAAGAACTTAGACCGGACGTGGCAGAGTATTTATACATTCCTAAGAACAAAATGATGTACATTCACTGTTCTAAAATCTGTTGATACCATTACTTTGGCATTGCACAATTTAATGTTTTACTCTGACTGTTAACGACCTTTTTTGCACTAAATCCATTCGATTTGGCCGATGCAGAAACAGTACCTTTGACTGCCAAGGATCGGCCCAAAGCCGATGTTGTTTTCCGCTGTGACGTTGTTCCTTGACGTCATACAGAATTTGCAGCGCCCAGCGAAGCCGGCGTGGAAAGAAAATCAGCCGTTGTTCAGAGTTCTGCTACCGGGCTCATTGACTTTTCTTTCGATGAAGCCCCATCATGATCCAGCCATCCTTATTTTTACATTATTACCCAGAAGTGCATTGTCATTTGATTACATTCACATATTTCTTTCTATTGATTTTTCCAAATAAACGGATATGTTTAAAAGTCATCCCAGCTCCAATATCTTCATTGTATAAATGCGTCTTTATCATACTCCGGGTGCCTTCGGCTGTTATCTGCTCTTTGGTCGGGTTGTTGTCTCTTTGACATTTTCCCCGTTTCCTTTCTCAATTTTATGATATAGGAATAAAACAAAACTTTCTTTTATTTTGTTGATGTGCATATGGACCAATGATGGACTTAAAGAGCATAAATCATTTATCATTCTAATATGACGTCCTTGTTACGCCTTGGAAACAAAGCCGTGTTCTAATTAGCACAAAATATGTTTGACACCTGCGCACAAATTTACTGTTTATATTTTCGTTATTTTCATTGTTATTCTAATAAAGTATATATATTTTAGCAGCTTACATAAACTTTTAGTATGTATTGCTTATCAAACAACACATATTTACCCTGCTTTTAGTTTTTAAAGTAATTAAATATGAAAATGTAATGTACAGACTCCATTGGGAGGAAACGAGAACAGCCAAACATTTTTAAGGTATTGTTGTGCGCTTCGACCTATAAAAATACTGTATTTGCCCTATTAGAATCGACATAAAATATAGACAAATATAATGACTACCCATGTTAAAATGAGCAAAGAGCATGACATGAAGGAATTATTTTTTAAGTTATATTTTTTTATTGCATTTATCCCTCTATAAAGTTTTTATAATCGTCTTCGACTTTTTACTTCGGTTTTAAGCGCGGAAACCAAAACCAGGTCGGAAGGACGGGTGGTCAAAGGTAACACTTAAGAGTCACTTAATGCCGCCTCCGGTGGGTGGGGGCATAAATAGAAACAATTATGATTCCGGCGTATCGAGTACCAACACGTTAATTTCTGAATTCTGTGTACCATTCCTTTGAGTACAGAATACTCTTTTTTTCATGTACCTGGAATATCACGTGCAAAAAGGGTGAATCCCTAATACACACAACAACAAAAAAAAACGCGCCGATTTTAAAAATGTACCTTTGACTGCCAGGCATCGGCTTTGGCCGATGTGCAGCACAAATGACGTAATCTTGACGTCATAGACTCTGAGCAGCGCTGAAGGAAACATGGCTGCAATTGAACCTAATCCATAGTTCAGTGTTCTCCCACCAGAGCCAATGAATGACCCACCGTTTAATAGAGCACCAAATGGACCCAATAATATGCCGTCCAGCGATGCCGCGCCAATAGCTTAATTTTATTTGCTGTTTTCTATTGACCTTATCAAAGAGTTTGTCAAAAAAACAAACAGGTTGGTAAAATAATCTTTTCTGAGTTAGTTTCTAGTTTCTAGACGTATCTTTCATAGCCATATTGCAATTTTTTACCATCAATATAGAACCAACGCGCCGTTGAAATGTTAATGACACAGTCAATAAAATAATCAACAAAGTCATACAATTTAAGTCTTTGTGATTACAAGTTCTTTCATTTTATGACATTGTTCTTTCTAAAACATAATTTAGAAATTTTTTTAACACTTTTATATCCACCTGCTGAAATGGTATGTGTAGACCGGTCAAGATAATAGGAAGACAGCCTAACACGACTGTTTGTTCGTTCAGCTCAATAAAGAGTAATGAACATTATGTTTTTC